TGAGACAAAAAATTATTTAAATTGAAAAAAATATTTTATTTAGTTTTTTTAAAATAAATAAATATACATATATTAGACAGCAAACACCCGTATTCCGTAAATCTGCTCAAATACACACATAAATAGATACGAGAGAGCCTGGACAACCATAAATATTTATTTATAGGAATCTGGTTATGATCTAAAAAATTCAAACCAAACAAATCTTTCGAACCAATATCCTTAAAGTAAAAATACTCATACTTTCAGTGAAGGATATTTTGTCATGTTTCAATGTGTTTCTTTTGTAGTGTGTTTCATTTTAATATTAATTATTTAGTGTTGTTACAAATTTTCGTTATTACAATTATTGTCTTGTGTTTGCCATTATTTAATTTGTTTGCAAATTAGAACTGCTATTTATTAAAAGATTTAATTGTTAAAATAAAATATTTAAATTAATTATAATTATTAATTTAAAATTATCATTACTCTTAATAATATTAAAAAATGTTTTTCTTAACAAAATGTTGTTATTTATAAAAAATATTTTTATAAAAATTAAACGATTAAAAATTAAAATATAAATATTTATTAATAAAAATTAAATAATTATTTAGTTAAAAATATTCAAATATTTGTATTTATTAAATAAAATTCAAATTTAAGTTAAAACTAAAATAATTTTAAAAATCCAATAATTATTTTTCTAAAATATACTAAATAAAATAATATTTTATAAAATTAAATAATAAAGAATATATATATATATATATATATAATACTAATTAGATAATAAAATTCACAAGAAATATTAAAACATTTTTATTTATAGAAGAAAAATAAAATACTTAAGTTAATTTAAATATTAAAATAGCCATATTAAATTTTTAATTGATAATAAATTATTTAAAATTAAATAATCATTATTAATTTAATATTATCATTATTTAAATTTGATAATAATAATTCTTAATAATATTTTTAAAAATATAAAAAATTAAATAAAATATATAATATATAAAATAATATCTATATAAAAATTAAATTTATTAAAATATTGAATTTGTTGAAGACAAAATAGACTCTTAAGTGGATGAAGATATTAAAATATTTATATTTATATTTATTGAAGAAATATTAAATTTTAAATTTATTGAAAAATATTAAAATATCTATATTTTAAACATTTAATTAAAATAAAACAATTTAATAAATTAAAAAGATTAAAAATAAATCAAAACAAATTAAAAAAACAATTATGTAAAAAATCAAATAGTTTATAATTTCTATAAGACAAAACTTGTACGATACCTGATTTCTCAATATACATAGTTAGTTGGTATATTTTAATAAATAAATTGAGAAATGAGGTATCTGAATGAATAAAAATAAAACATTGTATATTAAAATTTATTTTAAAATATATGGTTCACTAAGTCATTTTATCTTAAGAAAATATAAGTAATTTCTAGATGAAAATTATTTTAAAATTATTATTAATTTTCTCAAATAATTTCAGATTTAAAAAAAATAGAATATATATATATATATAGTAAATAATATCAAAGTCTTTAAATGTACTAAAAATATAGTAAATATAAAAGATTTGGATAAGCATAAGAGAAAAATTTTGTCTAATACTTTTATGAGGACTAAAATTTTTCTTTTGAATATTTAGGTTATTTTTAACATGAAAAAGCAACTAATAATTGAAAGTTGTTAAAGGATGGAGAAAATAATTAAACTAGTTTATTATCTGTGTTGAATTAATGTAGGTAATATGCTTTTAATTTGTAAAAAACTTATGGATTTTATATTTAGGTTTTAATAAAAAAAATTATTATTTTTATCGAGTTTTTGAAATTTTTATGATTTTTTTATTTAATTTTAAAAAATGTTTCTATTTTTTTATTAATTTTCTTTTTCATATGATCTCTTAAATATCTTAATTATTTATTTATTGTTATCATATTAAATGTGTTTTATCATATATTAAAATATTATGTGAATAAGGTAATGATGAACGTCAAATACAAACTAAAAAATAATTAAGAATAAAAATCAAGAAATTTATTAAAGGCTACATACATTAGGTAATAAAATGGTGAGAATAGGAAAATTATATTTCAGACAATAATTGAAAAAGACAACTTTTTTCAACAAATAACCTAAAATAGAAAAGAAGATTAAATATAGAAAAATAAAATCAACAATATTTAAGTATCTCAAATATGCTACCAACTACTTAAAATAATAATAATAATAATAATAATAATAATAATAATAATAATAATAATAATATTATTATTATTATTATTATTATTATCTCACTTTACACATCATAACATATATAATATAAACTATAATATTCTTACCGTTCCATTCTATTAAGTACATAAATATTTAATATAAGGAAAATAATAATAGATCTTATTAATCTATTAAAAAGAAAAAAATTATAATATATTATATAATTGTAAAACTTAAAAATAATATTATTTATTACTTAAACTAATTTGATAAGAAATATATATGTAAAATAAATTTATTTTACATAAACATAATTTTATATATTATTTTTATTCCTTATTTATGTATTTAATATTATTTTCTCATATATTAATTCAAGTATTTGAATATTTTATAGTTTTTTTATAAGTAATATTCATAGTTTGATTATTAAGATAAAAGACATTTGTATTGGTTTGAGGGAGTTTTCGTTTATATTTTTATTTGTGTCAGAAAAATTATTTTTCATAATCAATATTAAAAAGAAATAAGTCTAATTAAGTAAATAATTAATAAATATTTTATTTAAATAATTTCTTAAAAATATATTATTTCTGATATTAAATTTAATTCTTACCGAATAAATGATTGAATGATTATTGATGGAGTGATATTTTATGAAGTGTGTGGCAGTGGATGACACTCTTTGATTGCATATGATAAAATTGTGTGGTAGGAAGAAATAATAATTTGAGGTTGAAGAATGACGAAACATAACGTGATAAAATAGATCAGGTTATTGGGATGGATTAATATTTGATTGTTTTAAATTATACTTTTTTTAAGATAATATATTAATTTATATTATTAATTTAAATATATCTATATATATACATTAAATTATTAAAAAATAAATAATAATTTTATGAAAATATTTAATTTAAAAGAGATAAATAAATTGATTTTAAAAAATTATGATAGATCAACTGAGAAACATTAAAAACTTATCTTATTCCATTAAAAACGTTTCAATGGATTCAACGTTGACGTGCTTGTTTCAAATTTAATCCAACGCCATTGGATAATGAAAAAGAAGAACAAAACATCTTTCTATAAGTTCGTTATCAATCAATGGAAGAGATTATGCAATAATGCAAGAACGTGATTAATTGAGATTTCACCTTCTAAGAATCGAATTTGTAAAAAGCTTGCTTATCTGATCATAGATTCACAATTTCTGCTCTTATTTTCTTTTCATTTCCTTTTGTTATGTTATGTCCTTCTCATCATCTCAACAACGATTACCATCATACATGTGAGAATATGAGAATTCTAATGATGGAAGCATTTATTGGACCATATAGCTTGATGAAGCATCTATTTATTTCTCTCTCTCTCTCTCTCTCTCTCTCTCTCTATCTATCTATCTATATATATATATATATATATATATATATATATATATATATATATATATATATATATATATAATTTTTTTAAAATTAATATATATTATTACTATCATGTTAATATTTACTTTGATCTTTAATTTTTGAATTAGTTATTTTAGAATATTTTTAAAAAATTAATAGATAAGAACATATAGTAAAATAGAATTGAAAGTCTTTTGATTAAAATTATAAATTTATGACATTTCATTTATTATATTTATTCAGAAAAATAAACTATGAAACCATAATTAAAAATATAATATATTAAATTTAATGGATTTTATTTTTATTAATAGAAATTAACTGTTTTTAGTGAGAAATTGCATGCGTTACTAATACTAGAAATTAAAATTATATAAATATTTTTTATTGAACTAATTATGAATTTTTAAATTTCAAAGATTTCTGTAAGATAAATTACAAAGATAATTTTCGCATTATACCTCTCTTCTAGATGACAAAAAAAATTATAAAAAGGAAAATACCCGTTATATATAATATAAATAATGGTGATTTGATGAAATTAAAAATAAAACTAAAAATGAAAATGATGAACAAGAAGCCTTAATTTGATGAATGAAGAAGCCTTTACTTTCTTTCTTTGGGCTTAAGTCACGGTTGGGTCCAACTTGTGTAATAGATTATGGCTAATGCTACTTACACGCCCGTTTCTACTATATGCACGTATCTTTGTATTTTTGTTGTTCGTTCTAAAAATATTATGATTCCGAAAAAGTACTTTTTTTCTGGAGACTGTTTCAAACAAATTTCAGAGAGTATATGAGGGTCCATGGTAAGCATCATCGCCACTATTTTTCTTTTGTACCTTCAATTTTCTGATCCAATTGAATCCGACCAAAACCTTAACCATTAAAGAGAAGAAGTTTCAGAATTAAAATATGTAAAATAAGTAAAAGCATTCTTCGTTCTAACGTTATGTTATCAACTGAGACGAAAACACCGAATTCTGGTATATTTTATACATTCTTCGTACTAAATTAAATTTTCTTAAGGGTGATCCATAAGGTTTTAATAAGTAATTATATAAGTATAAAAAGGAGACAAGATCCAACAGTGTTGAACCATTATAATTGATTTCAAAATATTACTGCATATAGATATATCATTTGTATAAGCTCACAAAACATAGGAATCCCCATTTCCTCCAATAACAAAGTCAACATTGTTGCATCCCTGCCTATCTATATACACTCTTGTGCTTGAAGATAAACAACACTTTTATGCTATGGAACAAATTCATCATATTTATATCTAACCTATTAAACTCTAATGAATGCATAATTACCTATAAAACATCAAGTGCTGGCTCAATCATGGCTATGAACATGTAGCTAGACCATCTTGTGGTAGCAAACTCCCTTCTTCATCCAATGTCTCTCTAACTGCCTTGTAAAAGGCTATCCATGAAGAAGAGTAGGCGTCAACAGGACCCCACAAAAACGTAGGATTTGGACTTGCAGGGCATGCACTTACCAAATCCAAAACTGAAACTGGTTTAATATTCTGTGGGAAATTGAATGCCAAGTTATCAACTTTGTGTTCATAAATTTTGCCATTTCTGTCCAATTTGTACCTTGAAGTCCCCTGAAATTCTCCTTTGGCTTCCCAAGGAACCCTTGGCACTCCCCTGAGGTTCCACCTGACCAATATCAAATTCTCTGAAGGCTGCCACACCCTGTACACATCAAGTGCAATCTCACGAAACAAGATTTTGCCATGAAACCTCAATGCCCAGAAGATCAATTTGTACTTTTCAATCCCAGTAAATGTGTTCATGGGGTCCATGAATGTTATGTCATCCCTGAAATGACCAAATTCCATTGAAAACCTCCTTAAAATAGTAATAACATTTAAAAGAAGAAGAAGAAGAATATAACTCAGATGCATTACTTTACATCTATAAAAAATTCCAAATTCCATAGAAGTTCGAACAAGGAACTCTTTTGTATCTTTACTATCCACATATATGTGGAAGACTGGGCTGAGCATGTAGCCCCTCCCCCTAAACTTGCACTATAATTCTGATACCCTTTTTAATGTATACATTTTTTTGAACATTTTTCCCTTCAACTAATACTGCAAACCCCTTAACTATCCCCTTTTAACCTCCCATATCAATATATAAAAAAACACGGGAAGAAAACCACATTCTTTGGATCCAATTCCATAAAAATGAAAAACGTGAGTAAACAAGCAGGGTTGTTTTTCCACTAGTATAAATAAATGTGTGTCAGATTTGTTACATACATCAATTAACTGTTGATGTTTTCTTCGCAAGAGTACTTCTTTTATCCTCTAGAGTGCCTTACTCAAGAATTCTTACTTCTTTTCATATTATTTTCCATTCAAATTTAACATCTGTGTGGCTAACCAAAACCAAATATAGTTAGTTATACAAAGATAATATTCACCAAGAAAGAGTGACAGTTTTAATTGAAAACAATATTTACAAAGAGATAAGATACTGTGCTAGAATCTTGTCTAAAAGTGAAAAAAAAAAAAAAAAAAAAAAAGCAGCCGACATAAGAAATTGAAAAGATGGGCACAAGGCGGTGAGAAAGAGACCTATAAATGTCATAATTGAGGTCTTTGATGAAGATCAAAGGAAGGTCCTCACGGATGGTCCTGACAGCAAGACCAAGGTTGAGGTAGAATTCATCCTTTGGGTGCTTATTGTCTTGCGGTGTGCTGACCTGTGCAACTTGTGCAGTGGAAGAAGCATGGAGAGAGTAAGAAGATACTGGCAAGAGAGAATTGGGTTTGGGAGGTGAGAGATTTTGGTGAAGGTTTGATTTGTCTTTGGATTTGGGTTGGGCCAAGAGGGAAGGTTGAAGGTGGGGAAGGAGAAAAGCCATGGCCTTTGAATAATCCTCAATGGTTTTGTCACAAAGATATTATTAGCTTTTCATTTGTGTGTGTGCGTTGGTTGTTCTGTTTTGTTTATCTGAGTTTGATGATGCAAACAAATTGAGGCTGTTGTTAATTTCATAGTTTGTGGCTTCCAAAATAGCCATGAACTTTCGATGATACAAGCATTGCCGATTTTGCGTTTTCAATTAGAATTTTAAAAAACAATATATATATATATATATATATATATATATATATATATATATATATATATATATATATATATATATTAAATTAAAATTTGACTAAAATTACGTATTTCCTTAAACATAGACACTAATAATGAAAACAAATCAAGGAATTGTATAAAACTTTATTGAGTTAAAACGTAAATTATTTGGATAAATTACCACCCCAAACATTCAATGTTTAGTACTTAATTTTTTCATTAAAAATTGTATAACTTTTTTTAATGCAGTTAACAGATAATATAACAAATAAATAATATTAAATCACAATAAATTATGTGCGCAGCCAAGCTCAACCTAACAAACCTCAAAATCTCTAAACGTGATTCCAACTATATATATATATATAGTTGGACAATTGAATAATTAATTTTTTAAAATAAAGTCAATTAATAAATATAACACGTGATAAACGTATACGTTATTGTTGTGAAGATTTAAGTGTGTGGGTTACATACACGTACAAAACAAGCAACATATTTTTACGTCCAAAGCATTTCCCCTCATTAAATAAAAAATTAGGGTTCATCACAAGATTTTAGTTCAGATCAAAGGTACTTTTAACAAAGAACGCATTTTTTACCCTCATAATATCATCCTAGTACCACAAGTTATGTTACATTTTATAGCACAAATTTCAATTAATTCTTATGTTTCAAAAAGACATGTTTACATAATCATAATCAAATACTTAATTTATTTACAAAATACATTTTAATTTCGTCTTTTATTATATTTTTCACTGCAGCTAAACTTTGAAATGAATGATATTTTATGATAAGTTTCAAAACCAGATACTAAACATACTTTGGGGTTTAAAACTAAAATAACATACACTTTCATAGTCTTTTGCATTCTCTCCTATTCAAAGGTGGAAAAATTCTTCCAATTCCTTTTCTTGACTTTGATACTTCTGTGCACAGAAATTTAAATAATGTACGTGTTTCGAAATTTTTGGTTTCATGTTGTGTGGATCATCAAATCATGGAGGAGTGGTGGATATAAAATTTGACGCACAAAATTTTTGGTGTACAATTTATACCAGAATATTATTTTATGCTAATTATTATTTTCACGTCAATTATCATTTATGGTATTATTTATTTTAAAATTTTAATCTATCTTATTTTACTCATAAAAAAAAGTTTTAATAAATTAATAAGGATATATATGAATTATCATTATAAATACATTATAAATACACTGATAAGCGAAATTCTAATCTCCGTAATTAAATGATAATATTCTATATTAAAAATATAAGAATTTTGATCTCATGATTTATTATAATAATATTTAGATTCAATTTTTATGTTTAAAGTATTATTCAAAGTATTATTCATTATTAATTTGTAATTTTATTTTTTCTTAGGCTAAATTAGAAAAAGTTAAGATAGGAATAAATTTTATATTTCACCCAAAAGCTTCTTTTTTTTAAGTAACCTTGTTCTTTCTTTTCAACGAGAAAAAAAAATCTAAAATAGGGTAAAGCAAACATTTCCAATAACTATTTTTCTTAAAAATGTAAAAGTGTTACGAGTTTAAAAATATTCTTCAAATTCGAGATTATGTGAATCCTACTAGTTTTATAAACATGTTTCGTTATGAATAAATTCACATAAATTTTACTTAATACATTTTTTTTATAATTTTGTTATTGTATGAAATATTATGGATTTTACCTTATATTTACAATTACTTTAAAAATATCTAAAAATATTTTTAAAAAAATGTATTTTGTTTGTAACTTTAATCATGTCATGATAAGATCTTTTGCATGACATTGTGATTAATTTCATAGTTATTACCATTTATTTATTAACGTGAAATAGTTGTGAAAGTGAAATAGGTGTCAATGGTTGATATGAGGGGTGGGCTCAAGTTGCATGTTGGGTGTTGGATTGAAGCTAAGATCCATACCATGCTAAATGGTGTTTTAGATAAGGTTCCTAGTTTTGAAAATGAAATGCCAAAGCAGGGGAAAGAAAGAACACAAACAGGGTCCTCCCAAAAGAAATTCTCTAGCGGATATTCTTAAAGCTTCTGCTTCTTTTCAAGAGCCAATACCAAGAGGAAGCACATTCCATTTTTAGATACTAGGTACCTTAGCATCTTTTCTTTCTTGTTTTTTATATATACTAAATATAATGATATATTATTATTAATTATGGTGAAAATTTTTTTAGAGAATTATCTAATTCATAATAATACAATTATATGAGCCAACTTGAAATAAACATCTCATCAACCACTTATTAATAAACAACATCTATTCAATCTAATGATGCATCTTCCCAAACTCAACATAAGAAATAGAACTTTAATCAGGACAAGTTAACATAAGCATTATGACTTTAACATGTCCATGATCTCTTTGTTGATTAATAAGAAATCACCTCATGCAACCAAGCCAGCCATGATTCTGAAATGGTCGATAGACGTAGTTAGTCGCTACTATACATTCTACTCTAATACTATAAATACTACAAATATTAAAATGTGTTGTATGCAAAACTAATCTTCTTATATCTATGACAGTTTTGTGGTTAAATCAAAGAGGTTTCAGCACTGCTATTTATTAATTATGAGTTTTATTAATTAAATTTTACATTTTTCAAAAGCTGTTAATCAGAAGCAGAGCTTGTGACAGTTTTCGGAACAAATATCGAATGTTATGACTCATGTCTAATGGACTCGAACAGTGGAGAAGAGAGGTAATGCTCTCCAGAACTAGAGAACATCACCTGCAGCAGCAAACATGATTAGAAGATGATTGATGAGGATTCATCAAACACACGATTAAATTTTAATCTACTAGAGATATGAAGGATCAAGTACTCTTCAAAATGTGTATCAATAAGACATATGTGTCATGCTTTCCCAACTAATATATACAAATTTATAACAAGAAATTGCAGGGTATTTTTGTTGAATAATGCTAAACCATATATTTTAACCACAAGACATATGAATCCAGAATTCAATTAAAGTAGTAGATTGGTAAGTAAGCGTACAATTATGAGTTACTTGGCGTTTTCTAGCCTCTCTCCCAATTTTATTGTTGCTGCAGCTACGGCTCCAGATGAAATTCCTACTTGTTGAAGGTGAAAAATACAGTCAGAATAGCTAGATAAAGTAAGTTGAGTAACATTAAAGTTCCATTGTTATACACATAATGGCTAAAAGAAAAATATAGTGATCCATGGAGATTTTATTCATAAACAATGGAATAAAACTGTAGTCGTACCAGCAACCTTCTTTCAGGGCTAACAGGTTAGCAGTTTCTATAATCTTCTCACTGGACAACTGAAAAAAGTTAGCAATAAATAAAAAACCATGACCGAAATCCTAAAGCAGAAAACACACAACTCTCCTCCAAGTATTCATACAGCAAAATGTAATCATAAAGAAAGAAGGAGAAAATTATTACTGCCTTTATGTTTCGTAAGGATCTAGAACCTTCAGTGATCATCTAAATATGAAAACAAATGCATGAACTGTGTTGTGAACAATGAACAATGAACATTCTCATAATCGGTAGTGATGACCATGACATTGCACTAGTAAAGAAATATCTCTAACAACATTTTCAGACAAAGATCTCAATAAAAATCAAATTTTCTTGAGAATATAGGTGGTACAATCCAAGAATGGTGTTGTCATTTCCCAAAGAAAGTTTGAATGCATTTACAGGAGACAGGATTGATAAGTGTTAAACATGTAGGAACTCTTATAGATCTTAAAACTATGTTTTTGCCAAGGTAGGAGAGTCACTCTTAAATGTAGAAAGGTTTGGAAGACTAAAATTAATTTATGTCACTATTACTCATCGAGATATCACTTTTGTAGTGAATTTGACAAGTCATATTCAACTCTCCATACGAAGAGCATTGTGGATGCAATAGTCCTCATGCTAAAACATGTAAAAAAATTTAAGAAAGGTCTCTTATATGAATTATAAAGTCGTATGTCAAACTCAACTAGTGGAATACTCAAATGCAGATTGTGCAGGAACTTTAATTATAGAAGACTCACTTCTGGTTATCGCATTCTTGTAAGTCCTAATCTATCATCCTAGAACAGTAACAAACAGAATTGCAAGATGAAGTGCAAAAGTACAATATTGAGCCATGACCAATTACCTGTGAACTAAATTGACTAAGTATATGAGGTTTGGGGAAGTTTCACATGACACTCATTTGTGTTAATCTGACAGCCCTCTAAATTGTCTCAACCCCATTTTTTTTAATAGAAGAACAAACACATCTGAGATATATATAATAAACTTAGTGCATATATGATTTATATCCTTCAGTACCCCCATAATGAATAAGACATTACAACATTCATCCTTCCACTACAATATATGATAATCATGACATCCATATAAACAGTTCCATGGCAATTACAGAACTTTCAACGGCATCGTAATGCCAAAATTTCTTGGTATGCTTGAATAATTTCATCAAGCACATTAACATCGAGCACAACAGGAATAATACCAGCACCAATTCCCTGAATGAGATGCTTGCCTTTTATACATTCATGCAACATGTCCAGTTAGTATGACACCATTCAGATGTCAGATTTTGAATGCAAAATACCAGGGACAAACTGTCGCAAAATTGGAAGAAAAAAAGAATGCCAAATGAAATTAATGTATGCAGTTCAAAAGTTGATGAGGGAAAACAATTAATGCTTGAAAAGAATACCATGAATTGAAAAATCGTATGCTTTGACAGAAGTAATGATGCATA